TAGGGATCAGACCTCGAGGCCTGTGTGCGGACATTGTTTCGGATGAACTGGTGGTCAAAGATCTCTTTCCAATCCTTGGATCGTTTGCTGACATCGCGATAATAGCCTTTAATCCTCTTATATTTCATAAATCCGCGCAATTTATCGAGTTTTGTCTGATCCGGAATCGAGTCCTCGATGTCCTTCACCTTCTGGTCGTCGGTTTGTTTGACTTCAACTTCTGGTTTGACAGACTGTTCCGCCATTTGTTTGAGAGCTCTTTGATACTCCTGAGGGAACACTTTGACAATCTTCTGCCTCAATGTCTCGAAGTTGTTGAGTATATCTGCGGCCACTTCTGAACCGGTCTTCTCATTGAACTCTTTGAGTAAATCCTTGAAGAGAGTGATGTCTTCCTCCAGTTCGAGTGGCAAGAGATCAACCATTTCTGGATTGCACTTCGAGGCAAACCTCCCGTCCCTTCAGAAATCAAATCAAATCATAGTTTCAAAAAACTTTTCAAACTAATGGTGTCTTTGATTATCACTACTCACAAGTCGTAGACGTAAGCGATTCCGCCGGACATACCGGCGGCAAAGTTCCTGCCGGTGGCGCCCAATATCACGACAACGCCTCCCGTCATGTATTCGCACCCGTGATCTCCCACCCCCTCGATGACAGCGATAGCACCGGAATTACGTACACAAAACCGCTCGGCGGCCACACCTCTAATGAAGGCTTTCCCAGAGGTGGCGCCGTATAGGCAGACATTCCCCACAATTATATTCTCCTCCGACTTGAACTCTTTGGGCATATCTTTGGGCGGATAGACAATCACTTCGCCCCCGGAGAGGCCTTTCCCGACGTAATCATTAGAGTCGCCCTCGAGTTCCACTACCACTCCCTTCGCCAGAAACAGACAAAACGACTGTCCGGCCGACCCTTTGAGGTTGACTTTAATGAGATCTTTGTAGAGCCCATTCTCGCCAAACCTGGAGGCGATATAATAGCTAAGAGTGGCGCCAAACGCGCGGTCGATGTTAGCGATGGGGAACGACATCTCAATCGAGTTCTGGGTATTGCCGTCGAGTATGGCTTTGGCAGCGGATATGATTTTGTTGTCGAGCCGGTTGTCCAGCTGGAAGTCCTGCGGAACGGATCCGCCGATGATATTCGTCTCGGGCCTCAGGGACAGGGCGTTACAGAGGATCATCGTGTAGTCCAGAAGCCCGGCCTTCGGGTTCTGGGGGTCTGGTTTGAACCTCAGGAGCTCTGTCCGGCCGATCAGATTCTGAAACTTTTTGATCCCGAGTTTCGCCATCTCTTGTCGGATCTCTTCGGCCAACAGAAACAAGTAGTTCACGAGATATTCGGGTTTTCCCTCAAACTTCTTGCGCAGCTCCGGGTCCTGAGTGGCCACACCTACGGGACAGGTGTTGAGGTGACACTTGCGCATCATTATACAGCCCAACACTATGAGAGGCGCCGTCGAGAAGCCAAACTCGTCGGCGCCGAGCAATGCGGCCACCAATACGTCAAAAGCCGTCCGGATCTGACCGTCGC